ACCGACTGTCTATTGGATATGTTAGATTATATTCATATTAAAAAAATAACCCTTTATTGAAACAAATACTTTATTCATTATGAGATACTCTTACACCCGTTAAAACGAGCCTTCACGATGAGACTTGCCTCGCATGCATGCGGCGCAACACAAGTCCCTGAGACAAATTTAACCATGAATGGCATTATATCAACTGCCACATGCAGCGCTGAGACCATGGAGGATGGCTAAGACTCACCTGAAACCTCACCGAGACCGACATCAGCGGTAGATGGACGAGAGACAAATTCAACAAACAAATTCACCGTGAGGGGATAGGTATCGCTGAATATTGTGAAACCTAGTACCTATTAATTTTGTCGCAGTTCACGTATTAAATTAACGTGACCATAAGATACTTTTTTAAGTACCAATTATTTCCGTTTTAATCTTTTTTCTCATCAACAATTAGCAGACAAACTGCTACACCAATTGCAATACATTGTTCATTAGAAAGCCAATAGGAAGACGCCACAATAAATGCCCATAGCTGACAGTAGACCGCAATTCACTGAAATATCAAGCGGCGGCGTAAGCTGCCTCAGTGTGTGTGGCCTCGGGTTCCTTCAGAATTCAGAATTGAACCGAGTGCATTACTAAGAACAAAAGAACAACTAGAGTACGAGCTGGAACTCAGGGCTTGGGTGGGCACTGAGAGCGTCGGTAGATGGCGGATAGCCGAACGATCTACAGCGATTTTTTATCCTGCAGGTTATCACCGAATAACCAATAGGGTGACGCTGACCAACCTCTCATTCCAAAGGTGTCATGCGATTCGTGCCGATAGGATGCGTAGTGGGTGGGGAGCGCCACCGCGAATGGAGCCTGCGGAATACCAGGCGACCTCCCGGAGTAATGAGTCTTAACTACGGTAACGCGGGGCTTTGCTGCAGTTGACTGTCCCTTCCCTTGCTACTCGTGGGATTAGAATGAGAAACCATTCAGATGATTCCAGGAACGACGGGATAATCGCCTCGACTGCCAGGAGTCTGGCGGAAAACCGATGGAGGTTACCTTAACCCCATCCACCAACGTCATTTCGAAGGAGTTGGAGAAGGTGCTACGTTCATCACCCAACTCCAACGCAAATGAAATCCCATCCACCTACTAACAATGGGCAAGCCGATGCTCTTTCTCCAGGCAAATCTCCAACATGCCAAAGCGGTTTCATGTCCTTGGCAGGAGGTTTGTCAAGGAGAGTCTAGACATCGCGTTTATTCAGGAGCCCTGATTTCCAATAGCGACCGTATAAGTGGCTTGGGAAATTGTTTTGGCAAGTTGGTAGCCGGTAATTTTCCGGACAAACCAAGAGCATGCCTTATCTGAAATAATATAAAATTCTTTATTCTAACAGGTTCCTGCACCGCTGATGTGGTTGCAGCCCAGGTGTCAATTCCGGCGAAGAATCACAGTAAGGATGTCGCCGTCTGCTCTGCTTATTAGCTGGGAGACACAGGTCAAGACCAACCACCTCCTTCAGCGATAGTGCGAAAACTAGTTGTCTATTGCAAGATGAACAACAAACAGCTCATCATTGGGTACGATGCTAATGTCCACCACAGGGACTGAGAAAGTACCGATGTCAATGTGTGAGGTGAACAACTATATAATTATATAATCGGTGAAGGCCTTATCGTTAACCAACTTTTGTGACGAAAAATCGTGTAAAAGTTTTAGACATGACAATCAGTACGCAGTTTGTGAGTACCAATACTTGTTAACTGAAGGATATCCACCGAACCCTCATGCTCTGACCACAGACATATCAGATTTGACATAAGGTTGGATAGGGTGCCCGCTCTTCAATTTCGTGACGAGTGGATACGAAAAGTCCCTCCAGGAGGGGCTGGGAAACGTTATTGAAATCATTAAGAATAGCGCAGAGATTAGAGTGGTAAATGATCAAATTCAAAATGCCCTTATGACTGTCTATCAGGACAACTGCCCACTAAAGAGACCTAAGGGGAAATCCATGGTGAAGCAGAAATCTAGACCAAAAACGAAAAAAAGTTTGTCATCTTTTCAATCGAGCTAAAAAATTAGACTGCAGAAAGGCCAAAAGAGAGTCGTGGAGGAAGTTCTGTCAGAGTATCAGATTTGTCTGCAAGCACCAGACTTCACAATATTCTCGCCAAAGATGCGAGACAGGAAGTCGGCTCGATAGAAAGACCCGATGACACCTATACGGACTCTGAAAACGAAACGCTAGAGAATTTTTTACAGAAACTCTTCACAGGCAGTCGAATTCTGGGACAGTTAAGAAGTACTACTTCCTTCTAGACTAGAACTACGTTGCACAAGTTGTCTTTCCAAGCACAGTGAAAAGAGCGATGAATTCATTATCCCCTTTTAAAACACCCGGAGAGGATGGCATATTTCCTGGCCTGCAGAAAGGACAGAAACCCTTGCTACCCCTCCTTGTGAGGCTGTATAGAGCAAGCCTGGCGTGGAACTATATCCTGCTAGTTTGGACGATGGCGAGAGTTGTGTATATACACAAGGCTGGCAGAGTAGATACCTCCCTACCAAGCTCCCACCGTCCAATATGCCTAACATCCTTTCTTTTGAAAATACTAGAGAGAATTCTAGATAGGCATATTAGAGAAGAACGCCTTCGGGCATGCCCGTTAAACTCTTACCAATATGCCCACCAAGCAGGCAAATCGACAGATCATGAGCTGCACAATCTATTAGGCAAAATCGGCCATTCCCTAAAATACGGGGAGATTGCGCTGGGAGCCTTTCTAGACATAGAAGGCGCGTCTTCCTCAGTCTCTGTTCGCTTTTATTGAAAGAAGAGAGATCGACAAATTGACCTGTAATTTGATCAAAAGCATGCTTGCAAGCTGGAACATCATTTCATCACTGCAGGGAGAGAAAGTCACTTTCAGGCCTGCCAGAGGATGTCCACAAGGCGGTGTACTTTCACCCCTACTGTGGACCATTCTGATGAATAATCTGGTTATCTTAAGGGGAAGTACGAAAAGGTGATCTTCAACATCCTTCAACAATCCCTAAATATGATCAACAGATGGTGCGAGAGGGAGCAGATGTAAGTTAAAATTGTTATTGTACCTTTTACTAAAAGAAAAAAGCTCGACAAGCTTCGACAACCTACCTTGACCGGGGAAACCATTTTTGCGGAGGAGGTGAAATATCTGGGGATTATCCTAGATAAGAAACTCACCTGAAACCCACAAACCATCAACAAAGCCAGAGTATCCCTCTGGACCCTCAGAAGGATATGCGGCAAAGCATGGGTGATCAGTCCTCAACCGATCTACTGGATTTACCAAACAGTGGTAAAACCCATGATTACGTATGGCTCTGTCGTCTTTTTGGACAAGGGACTTCAACAGACAAATAGAGCAAAGCTGGCTGGAATCCAGCGGCTTGCGTGCCAAAAAAAAAGCTGTGGATAAACTCACTAATATAATAAACGCTAGATATAGACTAAAGTATGGAAAGTCACTTAAATTATGATGATAATCAAACCTGAAAAACCGCTAAATGTAGTAAAGTTCTATTATAGACCTATATACTTACCGGTGCTTCTAAACTTTTCGAAAAACTTTACTAAGAAGAAAATTGAAATCCATCATCTATCATAGACAATAATTTAGATTTAGGAACAAGCATTCCACTATTTATCCAGTTCACAGAATCAAAAATGAAATAGAGAAAATACTGGAAGAAAAAAAGACCTGCATTCCACTCTTTCTATGCAGATGTAACGATACAGTATGGTTATAAGGCCTATATAAAAAAAAATAAACTTTTACCTAGGCAATAGTGGGACATCTTAAAATCCTACTTGACGGATATAATCTTCAGAGTAAAACGATAAGAATATTTTACGCTCAACACAGGGGTATCTCAAGGAAATGCCCTGTGACCATATATCAAACGCAAAATGTGAAAGTAGCCACATTTACCGACAACACAGCGATACTTACCTACTTGGCGTGCTATCCTTCTTCCGACCCTCTGGATAGCTATTCACTAAGTCATGGGAGCGCTCCCATGGGAGTGCTCCCATATATTTTGCTCTCTTACTCTTAGATGGGTATATCGTGCTTACTCACTTTTAGCCCAGGTACATGCGTAGTAAGGTCAGATTTTATATCATGCGAGGGAGAATTGCGGGCTTGCCAGATTTAGGTCCGTATTTATCACAAAGGAAATTTGAACTATTTAGGACCGATTCCACCGTTGTGTTAAACGAAGTTTAAAATGACATTTTTACATTAACAATGTCACTTTAATCTCCGTTTAACACAACGGTGGAATCGGCTCTTAAATAGTAGATCAAAGTTATTCTGTCGACTTGGCAACGTTGGCATGGGAGTATGGGAGCATGGGAGTATGGGAGTGCTCCCATGAGTTAGAGAATAGGTATCCTGATAGAAGAAGCCAAATTAGGTGGGCTTTATAATTTCCTTGAATAAAACCATTTCAACTAAATAATAGAAATATAAATAAACTTTATTCTCAATTCAAGAGCAGTTTATAACAATATTTGGCGAATTTTTTTGACGGCTACAATTTATATTTGCTAGATATCATGTTTTGCATGATACAGGATGATATTTTAAGTCGTTTAATAATAATAAAACTATGAAAGGAAAAAAACAGTAAATAAAAAAAGAACAAAACTATACATATATGTATCGGTAGATTTTTATGTAGTTTTAACTACATATTTTACGCATCCACGAACACCGATCCCAAAGTTAGTACTATTCTGCCTTGTCGGTGGGGTCGCAGTTATCATGGCAGCCAGCATATTTTTTTACGATGCTGTATCTATGATTTCTGAGATCTATGAACCCCCATGATATATTTCTGGCTACACCACTGGCAACATTGCTCACTTTCTGTATATTGTTGTTGAAACGTAAAAAATAAGACCAATTTAGTAAATATTATTGCTAATAATAATTACTAATTGTAAATTGCGTGTAAATCTTTTAAACATCACTATAAAGTCGGACATTATGAATAAACCAGTCAATGACTTTTTAATGTGTTCTGAATTTAATACGTCTACTTAATAAGCCAAGTATTAAAATAATTTTTAGTATTGAATATTGGATTTGTGTATCTATAATGACCAAAATCCAAAAAATATCTGTGTTAGTGACTGTTCTCCTTTGTTGTACATATGTAAGTAGAATTATTATATTTTAGTAACCTATAAATCTATCTAGATATGACAAAAACGTAGTTAAATAATTGCTACAAAATCTCAATATCAACATTTAGTTTACACCGAGAGTATTGTTGAATTCGACTAGTTCTACAGAAAAGTCTAAAAGAGTCAGACTATAAAATGTTTTTATTTCCTTGCCGAAAAAAATCATGGAGGACGTTTAATACAAGTGCTTCAGGTACACGAAAGAGCCATAGGGAAGCACTAGGTATCAGTGAGTCAACACCTCAGAAGATGCTGAAAAACCAGAACGTAGCAAAACAGAACTTAAAAAAACGCTCCAAGAGAAAAACAGAGGACTTTACTGATTGAATGAAATATAAAATGCGTGATACCATTTGCGACATGACACCATCCAAAAGTACCCATATAACTTTAGATACAATTGACGAAGAAATTAATAATAAAGGAATTGTAAATGTAGGAAGAACCAGTCTATGGAAAACTTTAAAACATATTGGATTTAAATTTAAGGAAGAAGACAATCGTAAGGCATTATGTGAGAAATCAGCAGTAGTTCATGAGCGTATTCAGTGCTTAAGGAAATTCCATAAGTTTAAAAGAAGTGGTTCTTCATCTGTATATTATTATTTAGATGAGACCTGGATTTTTTCGAAGGGATCTACAAAAAGAATTTGGCAAGATACAAATATAAAATAAAACATGACTGTAAAAGTGATGAAAAAATGGCCTAAATTTCGAAGCCGAAGAAACGAATGAAAAAAAAAATTAAAATTCGTTAATGTTTACTTTCGTTAAGAAAATTACTCTACTCTCGTGTAAAAGTATCTGAACGCGCTCTTGATGTAGAAATTAGTCATTTATTTATTTTTGTGAAAATAAGGATATACCTTTGGCTAAATTGCTTTATAGAAATAATTATATATAGTAAAAGAAAAACTATAATGATCCGAACCTAACCTCACAATTTTATTTATAAAACAATGAAAAAATCACATAAGAAAAAAAATAAACGAGTGCGTAAATTTCAGGACCCATATTATTTCAGTAGGTACTGGGTTCTATTGTATTTTGCATTGATATTAGTAACAATTTGTCAGGTATACAAATGACATCGGCTCCCGAATCGATTAAAAATTGTACCAGCTTATTAAATTCTTCTACTTCACAATCAATTATGTTTACCTGTTTTCTAATTTCTAATTAATTACGGTGCAATGTTAAAAACGCACCGGTCCATATTATGGCAGCTATTTTAAAAACAAGTTTTTGTACCTCAGGGACTAAAACATGCATTTTATTCCCTCATTTTAGGGACTAAAGTGCCACTTTTACTCCCTTGGAACTAAAATGTTTTAAAAAATTTTAGTACCGCAAATAACAAAACCAATAGAAACCATAGAGCAAACTACTTTATTCGGGAGGCAATATATAACAAGACCTCTTTTATAAGCGATTTACCCGAAAATAGTTTTGTTTAAAACTTTGCATATATTTTTATTTATTAATATTACAATTATTAGAAACACAATTGATTACTATAAAACGTCAAAATAATAAATTTCAATTTGACATTTAGTGTATACCTACTCTACTTACGTATAATGTGTTGACTATATTCAAGGTACTGTCAACGAGTTTATTAGCGAATAAATGTTGACAGATGAGAAAAATAATCAATAAAATTAATTAAATTGACAATAACAAAAGTAATCTTTAGTCTCTTAAATAACAAAACCAATAGAAAACACAGTAAACTACTTTATTTATTGAAATTAATTAAAAAACAATACAACAATGCAGTAAGCTAAATACCATAAAAATAAACAGCCTTAGAATAAATAATTTTTGATTAATATTAATAGTAACATTACTACAATTAGAAATGTTTAAAAGTTTGTTATCAGAATCTGTATTATCTACATTATTTAAAGAGTTACCGACATAATCCCCGGCGCAAAATCCCCGGCGACAAAATCCCCGCCGAGAAAATCCCCGCGACAAGATGCCCGGCGCGACAAAATCCCCGGAAACTAAAATCCACGGAAACAAAAATCCTTGTAAAAAATCCCTTGAATAAAAATATATCCCGGTAAAGAAACCCTTTGGATACAAAAAAATAATTGCTTAAAATACCATAAACTCGCACAACTCAGAAATTTTATTCTAACAATAAACTCAAATTCCAATATGGATCATATATTCAAATTTATGAATAGTTATCTTAATAACAAAGCTGAAAATCTTATTTCAATAATTAACGCAAACAAAATGTACACATTACAATAAGAAATAAGTATTATAATCGCAAATTTTGGGCAACGCCATGGAGGAACAATAACTTGTTGCAATCAAAAACCTACACCAATACCGACAAGCGATTTTCCATTTGTTCCAATTTTCTTTTCCTACTTACAGTTTCACCTGCATGAATAGCAGTTTTCACATTTTCCTGTTTGCTTCGCTCCAGTTTTATATTGGCTATAAATTTCCAAATCGAGACATGAGAGGCTTGCAATTTACTTGAAAATTCGCGATGCCACGCTTCCACACTATTATTTGTGCGAGGAATGTTATTTAATACTAATTCGTGGCAATTCCACAATTCTTTGGCAAATAAGGGTCTTTGACGCTAGTTGCCATTTTTTTTCCTATACACGTTTTTTCAAAATATTTTTTTTAAGTGGGCTAAACAATTCCTGGTTTTCTGAGTAATAATCGGATTCAAGGAGTAGTTCAAAAGTTTCAATTACTTGATTTACAGGCAAGATAGCAAGAGTCAACAATTTTTTTAATTCTAAAGCAAATTCTTCATCTTCTTTATATACACCCGTTAACCCACAACTCTGAATATTTCTCCATAAACATTAGGTGAAATGGAAAAAAACATCTGTGTATATCTACATTGGGAAACTCTTGATGAATTGCATTTATAAAACTTTTTTCGAAATCTACAATGACATATTCCGGGTTCAAACCCCGTTTGAGCCCCTTTATCGTTTGGATGATATGGACATATAATGATTTTTTACGGTTCGTTGTGAGTGCATACACTAGAGGGATAACACGATCTTTGTATTTCCGGGGCACAGTATATAGTTGGTTAAATATTAATGGTACAGTGTCAAATGTACGTTACGGAACCAATGTTTACACTTCTTTAATATTTTAAGTTTTTTTTGTGCTTAAAATTGATATGCGATCGTCGTTTTCACTATAATCGTCCAACAAAAATGTCTCACCTCTCAAGGTTTTTTTATATTTTTCTGGAATATTCAGCACCAAAATTGTGTCTGGATCCACCGGTATATTCGTTTTGTTGTTCCGCGCCCTTTGAATAATCCTCATAATCCTCTTTAATGATTTCTGTTTGGGTAACGGCCATTACGCATCCGTCAGAAATATTGGCTGTTACCCGATCAACTATATTAGCAGGATCAGAGACAACAGAGACGTGTAACTTAATATAGGAAAAATTGTTCGGTGGTCCATTTAAATTACATTAATGACTTTCTTTCTCTTTTACATTGATCTTTACATATATTTATCTCCCTCCAATAAAACTAACACCAATCTAAGAGGTCGCTGATGTTGCTGGTTTTTTGACGTCGACGTATCGATTAAAACTGACAACTGACAATGTTATGAATGTTGTTATGAACGGTGCATTTTATTAAAATTAATTTAATTTGGGCCCCGTTTATTTCTTTGAGTCTGATTTTGTTGTTTAATTAATTTTCTTTGGGGGGAATGTTTATTTTTTGCATGAAGCACTTTCTGGAACCAAACTCGCGTTTTTGTACACATTTCTTTCTAGAGGTAAGTAATTTCCAATTTATTAAGAAAACCACTGTATAATGCGTTCACTCAACAATAATTGCGGCATTTACTAAATTCAACTTATTATATTCCAGTACTCTATTAAAATAGGCTGTTTGAATTGATCAAGTACTAAACTACTAAACTAATGTATGCATGTAAATAGTCCTTTAAATGAAGAAATAAAATCTCATTTTACCAAAAAAACATAAAAAGTTCAAGTAGGATTGAATTAGGTTAATGCCTTTTGATTTCTTAAAAAAATATGTTACGTGACTTTTTTTATATCCAACCTTTTTAAAAATGGTGATTTTAAGGGAGAGTACAGTTCATATGTAGGATTCACTGTATCAGCAGATTCAGTCGATGTTGACATACTATGTTGACAATCCCTAAGAAACACAATTTTAAATTATTAATAAAAAAAAACATTCCTATTATTTAGTTTTTCTTCAAATAGACGCTTACGAATAGCCTTAGGAGGTCAGTAAAATGAGGGCAGTACCTACACCTTTCATTAAAAACATTTTTTCACTTGGAGACTATAAAATGTTTCCAACAAATTCTACTAAATTCCCTCACTTCATCCTCACGAATACCAATACCCAAGTTCTTCATCCACACATCCCTAGTTTAAGGATCTTTTGGAAAAATAAATAGGTATAAACAGTGTTTTCTTGTTCATATAGACAGGTAGTAGGTAGGATTTCATGTAATAATATAGAATGCAACATAATACATTTTACTTTAAAATAACTAAGGTGCTCTAAAAATACTTTTTATGTCATTAAAATAACAATACTAAGTACTTATAACTAAATGGAATGCCACTAGAGCCTTCTTAAATGTAAGTGTGCATAACAATATTATCCTAATTTAAAGGTAGCCTATTCTATTGTCCCGCTCCAGCCCCTGACTATCCGAACTCGCCTACAGTGGTGGAAGATGCTGGTTACAAATATTGCATGATCTATTATTCATTTATTTATCTGAGGCACGAACGAACTGAACAGCTGTCATTATCACTTTACCTTACTTCACTAGATGGCGCCACAGAAGCAGGTTCATTTGTAAAGCACAAGAAATAGACGCTAGTTGCTTCATCATGTTTTGAAACTTAAATAGAATATTATTTTTGGATTTATTTTGAGTTATTTTTTGGCGCGAATAATCGTGAAAATTGTTTTGTGAAAGGCTGAGTATATCGGGCATAAGCATGCTTTATCATGTTTTGAAACTTAATGGAATAATATTTTTTGATTTTTTTGCATTGTTTTTTGGCACGGGTATTTTGTGACGTCGGGGATTTTATCCCCGGGGATTCTTGTTTCCGGGGGTTTGGTCGTCGGGGATTTGGTCGTCGGGGATTTGGTTGCCGGGGTTTTTGGCTGGCACCCTTATTTAAAGGTGTATAACACATGTTTGATGTTGAAGATGGAATTAAATTTTCAACATATTCTTCACTAGTTATGGATGTACAAAGTACAAAAAATAGCGTATGTACCACGAGACTAAAGTGCGTTTTAATCCCTTGATACATAATATACTATTGTAACACCTTGGGCAATTAACCCTTTTAGTTACCTTTTTTGTTTTTTATGGAAAAATATCATATTTGTTTGTAAACTGTTTTATATATTTTTTAATTGAGATAAAAATGTTAGGTCATTAGTCATGTACCTTACGTTTTCATATTATTCAAAACAATCTTTATTATTGTAAACAAACATAGATATAGTGACTAGTTAAGTACATACCGATTTATTTTAAAGCTCTCCAATAGCGTCGAGTTTTTAAAATTTGTACAGAAATCTACAAAAAAAATATAATTACACACATTTAGGTACAGTCTGTTCGCTATACTTACGCGGGTTTCGGATTAATTAATTAATTATTTGTAACAAATTTAGTACCTACCCTAATGTTATTTTAATTTAAATCTGACCATTAGGGCAATTTTACCTAATTTCTTGGGAAGAGGTTTATTGGAACTGGTTGTCAATGACTAATTTGAATAATTTTGTTAATCCGAAACCCGCGTAAGTATAGCGAACAGACTATAGGTATATTGTTCAACATGCAGAGTTGGGTAGTATCCGGATACTTCTGTATCCGGATACAGTATCCGGATACTTTATGTGTATCCGAAAGCTGCATCCGGATACTTTTCAAATTTTGTATCCGGTATCCGTATCCGTGACCAAATTTGTAAGTATCCGGATACCGGATACTTTTAAATTATTTACCACAATCGTAACTGATCCAATCCATATTATCTCTATTAAAATATATAATCGAAATATTTTGAACTACCCTGTATAATTAGAAATAAAATACGTGTTTTTCATTACCATATTTAAGACAGAATTGCAATAGGTACCTACTTAAATAAAAAATAGTAAAATAATTATTTTATTATGATTTGTAGTTTTGTTTCGTGCACTCTGTAAAATTTAAAATAACGCAAAAAAATTCACATCGCCAATGATGAATTCGACGATTCACCCAGTATACAGACAGTCGGGATTCAGCATCTTGCGGCACGTTTTTACAGGAAAAATCCTGCAAACTCTTGTTAGCGTCACGAACTTGTGGAGGTTCCATTAGCCCAGTTATGTATCATTTGGCAAAGACAAGAGACGGTTGTTCGAGTGTTTTTATATAGTGCAATATAACTAAACTTTCTGTATCCGTTTTAGTACCTAAATATACGCAAAGGTAAGTAGGTGTAAGTACCTCAAATTTTTTGTTTTGTAAAATGTCTAATTACATTATTAGTTCTTAAAATGTAGTCGAGAAAATACATGTATGACGTTGTTGCTCATAATGTTACTGATCATGTGTTATTTATGTCGTCATAAACATCAATTAAGTATTCAGATCTGACAAGATCAAATATACGAGCCTGCTTTGACTATGCCAGAACGAAATATTTAGCAATCTCTCACTCCTCCACCTTTCGACCCTCTCGACTCTACCAAGTACCGCTCGTCGGAGGATCCACAAAAAATGGATTGTCGAATACATCTGACACTGAAGAGAATATCTAAAGGTTGTATAAACATGGCAAGTCGCGCCAACAACGAGCTTATTTCGTTAGGTTTATATGGACACGACACTGGCTGGTTTTTGGCGCGTTTCAGGCGCGACTCGTTTTATTTACGCGCACCTTTATGTTTTATTGTTCATTTTGTTTTAATGTTTTATATTCATAGAAAATAAATAATAAACAATTTATTGAGTATTTTTTTTGTTTCTATTATATCGCTTTCCATTTTGGTTAATTTATTTATGCCTAGTATTGTTTATTCTTGCATAATTATAACTATTGGCATGAAAATATTAATTTAACTCACTTTAAAAGTATCCGTAAAAGTATCCTTTAAAGTATCCGAAAAAAGTATCCGGATACTTGTATCCGAGTACTTTTTAAGTGAAAGTATTCTAAAAAGTATCCGAATACATTGTAAGTATCCGTATCCGGTACTCGGATACTTTTTTCCTGTATCCGATCCAACTCTGTCAACATGTTAATACAACGGTACGTTGTTGTCGTCGAGGACATTTGTTATGGACCAGTCTAAAAGCGTTGGCATAATATAGTGTTAAAACTATCAATTGTAACTTTTGTATTTCAATAACTTATGTATATAGTTTATTTAATTTGTTTTTCAGATTACATCATCAGTACCTGACCATAGACCTTTTAAACATATTCTACATAAATGTAGAGTGGAGGCAGTCCTAAACAGAACCTTATCAGAAGACGCCAAAAACATACACACCTTTAACAGATATAGCGTTTTATTATGTCTGAACATTAAACTTGGAATTATGAAATCTACTGGAGATATTAATAAACAAACTTTAAAAAAAATGCTACTGGAAATGGGAACGACTGAACCCAAAACACGGTTAATTATTGCTGAATGTGGCAAATGCAGTGGCGATGATATGTATGAAACCGCTTTAGAGCTGATAAATTGCGTCCATTATCAGATCCTAACTCATAAAAGTTTTCAAAAAGCTATCAACAGTGTACTTACCTAGAGAAAATAGACTTCTTATCTTTGGTGTTATGTTCATTACTGCAGTTGGCTACAATTTTGATAAACTTCTTTCTATTATCATATTAAGGATATATGAATAGTTTAGACAAATTCCAGAAATCCTGATGTACAAACATTCTCGTCTTCTTGATCCGTTTTGTTTTACGGTAAATGTGTCCAATGTAGTAGTACAGGATACAAAGTAAGGTCGACATTTTTCCATCTGCTTACCGTATGAAAGGTATTTTTTATTAAATAAAATATGCAAATAAATATACCGCAAATGGGTTGCCTAAAAAATATTTTACTTTCTGTATACAGATAAGGAAAATATAGGAATCGTGATAAAAGTTGCTTGTGATGTCATTCTCTATAATTATTATTCTATATATGATTTCCTTAAATAAACCGTATTCAAGATATTTGAGGGAAAATACAAATTTCGAATTTTGAAAAACGGATATAGAGAAAAACACCAAATTTTAAACTTAAGCTTTAATCCATCCTGCGGTGAGCTGATTAAATTTTGGACTCAGTAGAAGCATCTTGGGGATACTTTATAGCGTTTCGTTTCTTTTTACTATAAGAAAATAATTAGTATTGGCAGTATTTTCTTTGGCAACCCATTTGTAGTATATTTATAAACATATTTTATTTAATAAAAAATAGCTTTTATCCAGTAAGCAGATGGGCGAAGGTCGACCTTACATCGTATCTTAGTTTATAGGGTCTGAGTACAATAAGAGCATAGCTGCGTCATCACTATTTGGCGAAGTAATTAATTGTCGAAGTAATTCATTGACGATAGCCGCCTACTCGGGATTTAGTGGCGTGTTAATATTTTAAAAATATAGGAAAACATTTTTTTCTACACCCACATAGATATTAGATTATCTACGCACAGACTACAAAACGAAAAAGTATGTCAATGCGTTCAACTGAACGAATATATTTCATGTCAATTCTAGGTAGTGAGAATACTGTAAAAAAATGAAATCCACTTATCACAGTTCATATTTTGGACACCGAAATACTATTATTTTTAAAATTTTAAATAAGTGAAAATTCTGTCAAACTAATAGTCAGTATATTTTTTAATTATTAAGATTAAATATATTTATTAAAATGAGTTATTTTTGTGTAGAATTGATAAATAAACGTAAATAATAGCATTTCTATTTTTATTTAAAACATATTAAAAAAATAAATAAATAAATAAATAAATTATAATCAAACTATATGAAACTATTTTAATTACGAGTATTAAAACAAAAATCGTAAAAGTGGACGTAGAGGCATGGACAGACCCAGACAGCACACCAAATCCTTTGGATATCTACTGAACATCCCAATATCCACTGAATATCCATTGGATATCCACAAAAGATATTCTGTGGATATCTCTGGGATTTGGTGTGTTGTCTGGGGGAGTGCTTGACTTCCACGCGAAAAGCCGGGGATCGATTCTCGGCTGGAGACAATTTTTTTGTCATATTTATTTTATTTTAAAAATCAGTAAAATTCATAAATTATTTTAAAATTAGTTATTTTGTCTTAATAACCTAAAATATTTTTTTAATTTGTAGATTTTCGTCAGTGGGTCGTAGAAAAAATATACTGTACAACTCGAGTGGATTGTCCATATCGCATTCAGACTTTCGAGCAGTCATGAGCACTCAGCCTACGGCGTCGTGCCCAAATTTGGTCTTCGTGCGATATGACCATCATATCCACTCTTGTTGCACAAACTACTATTTATACCCAACAGCTTACTTATTCTTTATTGATAGTTATAGAAAACATGGATTTGAAATTCAAAATAATGGTTATGACTTTATGACACAGTGGTGTTCTTATTATAATCGGACTCTAATATGCTGAAAGTTTTATTATGTTCAGTTCACAATAATAACTTCAATAGTATGAATAGCAAATAGACAATTTGACAAGATTAACATTGTTTAATAACTGGATAGTTTTAGGAAAGTTTCATCACACATAGCTGTAAAAAAATGTTTATTTTATGTTTATGAATATTCCTTATGTGAAAATAACGTATGCAATATGTTGCAAATGTACCTATTTAATAAATTAATTATTTCAAAAGTACTCGGTTTTTAAAAAATCTTGAAATGCTTTATTGTTTATTATTAAATTCCCATTTCTTTTGACATAATTGTGAAAGAGATTTCGTCACTGTTGGTCATCAATCGATTTTTTTAATGGAAACGGGGGTTGTAGAATACCTCATTAAAAAGTTTATTTTAAGGAAAATTCAGCAGAATTAATGTAAATTAATTTTTGGAAATGCTAAAATATATTTCTCGTAGGAAATTATTAAATTTATCCTCAAACCCCTAAGGTGAAACAAACAAATAAATGAAAAATTAAAAAATCCGCTTGCCCCGAGCTGGATTCGAACAAGTCATACCTACCTTTCCGTGGTAGTGCTTTGACCAGTGGACTATCAGTTTACAAAAAAGTTATACCGATTCATCCATCGTACTAGGAACATGGTAAACATGATGACTAATTGACGCTTGTCCACAACTGTCACATTCAAATTTTGTGCTTTTATTGGCGATTCAAATTAATGTTCGCGCGCCTGTCATTTGTCACTTATAAGTAAGATGTTTGTTTATTTATATGATTTTGTTTTGGGCGGATTTTGTATTTGTGATTGTTTTAACTGTTTTTAGATAATATTCTCATTGTAATAGTGTCTTTGAGTTTCATTTAGTGTTAATTTAAGTTAAAGTCTCGTGCTTGGGTCATAAATATAATATTTATCATGTGTATGACTTATTTGTTGGAAATATTCACCTATTGGTTGCTACAAGAACATCTAGAAATATGTATTCACTAAACCCAGGACATGTTTTATTATGTGGTTTAAAGGACATTTCAGGTACCACACGTTTATTATTGATGAACTTATTTAAAAATCTTACTAGACTTATTCTTATATTATGAAGTGAATCATGTAGTACTTTGTATACATGTAAATGGTAATAAAACCGTCACAAATCAGATTAAAGTTTGATTCTAAACAAAGTTTTATAAAATTTCAATATTGTGAATTTGTAGATATTCATTTATCGTAAAAAACAAAATTTTACGACTTGCACTTGAAAAATATTGAATTGATTTTGACATTAACACCATATGGATTGCAATTTTCTGGGGACGTTTTCGCAGATTTCATTTTTAATATAAACACTATCACATACTATAAGAAATAAACAAATTTAAAGCTAAAAAGTAAAAAAAAACTCGAATTGTAATTGATACAAATTAAAATGTAAACAATGAACACGGAACGCCAATGTTGCCAAATGACCAACTGATTTTAAAACAAAATTAATAAATTAACTAAAATTTAAAAAAAATCAATATAATAAATCGGTTTTATAAAAAAATCCTTAAATAAATATAGAGTATGATTACATATTACCACACACAAATTTTGATTTTTAAATAAAAGGTCTTATCCACTTCTTCAAAAGCTAAAATCCGACGACGTAGCGAAGTTTTGCTACTTCTGGCAACACTGAACGATATCCTACTTATACGGACCTTCTACAAATTTCCTCCAGAGGGCGTATCACTTAGCTTGAATCGCGAATCGCGAATCGCGGGCGAAAAGTATTTCTTTAGATTTAAAACGAATGTTTACGAAATTGCTGAGAAAGTACAAATTGTGAAATGGCATTTTCAAGGCAACACAATTCGACAAATAAGCGGTTTGTTTGAGGCGACATTTCAAAATAGGCCCATACCATTACTCTCAACAGTACATCGTATTGTTCAAAATTTTGAAATTCATGGCTGCGTTTCTCCCAATGAACATAAAAAGGCTCGAGTTAATAATAATCAGAATGAACAAGAAGATAGGGATATTATGATTTGTGCAACTATGGAAGAAAATCCGATGATATCTCAGAGACAGGTTGCGGAAGTTGTAGGTTCCAGTGAAACCACAGTAACTAGAATTTTAAAAAAACATGGATATCGATCTTATAAAGTAAGAAAATGCCAAGAAATTTATGAAATTGACAATATTAGACGAACGGAATTTAGCGAGGCAGTAATGGATAAAGTTAACAATGACAACAATTTTCTTTACAATGTTGTGTTCACCGATGAGTCGACTTTTCCATTACTTGCCAGGCATAATCCATCCCAAGTCCGATATTGGTCTCGAGAAAATTTACATAAATTTGTAACAGTTCGCACGCAGTTCCCGCAAAAGTTGAATGTTTGGATGGGAATACTAGGTGAAAATGTAATCGGTCCTTTTTATATTGAGAGTAATTTAAATAGTGTTAAATATTTGGATTTACTCAGACACCATATTGTCCCTGAGATACGGCGATTGGCAGGAGCTCGATTTAACAATATTTGGTTTCAACAAGACGGATGTTCTGTGCATAATCGTGTGACGGTGCAGCACTTTTTAAATGAAACATTTTCCAACAGATTATTATCAGGGAAAGGTACAATTCTGTGGCCAGCTAGATCGCCGGATCTCGCATCTTGAGATTTTTTTTTGGTGGGGTTATTTAAAGTCTCAGATATATAAATTCAGGGAAGAAAGAGCTAACGACTTAGATGAGCTGAAAGTGAAAATTTCAGAAGCCGTTCAACTTATTAGTCCCAATATGTTGGCTGAAGTAAGGCGATCATTTTAGGATCGCTTGGGGTACTGTCTTGCCCAAAAAGGAGGTCTATTTGAGTACCTATTACATTAAAAATAAATTCGTGTTCTTTTATTATTGATTGTAATTTATTATTGTCTATTGGATTCCATTTTATAATTTTAATTTTTTTGTAATTTTTTAATCTTAGTTTTGTATTTTTTTTTAATTTTCAATGTTTGTTCTCTATTTTTTAATGTTTGTATTGAATTTTTTTCCATTTGAAAACAAAATCAAAGTTGTGTTTTATAAATTTTAAACTGTTGCTGTTCTTACTATTGTGGAGGGTCTTAAAAAACAGAGAAAAAAAAAAGAAATGAAAAAAGAAAATGAAAATTAATAAAATAAAAAAAAAGAAAAAAAAAACGTCGGCGCCGAGATTCGATCCTACCTCTATCCGCGTAGGTAGACTGTAAGTATAGTATTTCCAAAGTCAGTTGGAATAGTGAAAAACATAACTAGCGTACAAAGAGTACTCCGTTTATATATTTTGCTAATGCTAAAGCTACATAGTATTGGGCTAAATAAATACGGGTCTAGCCTTGTATTACTAGTGACACTTTATCATTTGACAAAGCAGTAGACCAGCTGTATTTTCGCATTATCTTGCCTATGTTATCATCACAATATTATTGAGTCGCTAGGTAATAAATTTCAGTACCGCGTGTTTGGGTTTTTTGATAGTTTCTTATTTTTCAGATAAAAAAATCTTTATATATATATTTTAGAATTTTAAGTGAATTTAATAATTGCGTCCAAAATCAGTTTATCTGATTGAACTAAAAGTAAAAAAATATTGAGTGGAAGTTTATCTGTGACAGTTTTAATATGGCATTTTGGAGACCGTTTGAGGCAAATAGTAAAATGTCACAGGATAATGAGAACATTGACTGTGATTCAGAGAATACTGAAGAAGGTGATTGGGAATTTAAAAATAAAGATTTACATGTTCAAACACAGAGACTTGTTTTAAATATTTTTGAATGATTGAAAAGAGAAAATTGTAAAAAATCCGACAACTTTATTATAAGAAGAATATGTGAACTAACGAAATTGAAACGAACAACTATTTATCGTATTATTATTTTAAAAGGAGATGTAACTGACCATTTTGTACAAAGAGAGAGTTAATCAAAAGCTTGCGAAAATTAATAAAAGTGGAAAGCAATTTATACGTAGGACAATTTATAAAATGTATCAAGAAAATCAAGTTCCTACTTTAGGGTGTATTCAAAGAAAATTATTAGATTACCCCGACTATAATAACAAGTCCCTAGAAACATTGCGTCAAATTTTATTAGATTGTAGATTTAGACATAAGAAATTGGACAAACAAATAGTGATAATGGAATCACAACGAATTGTTAGGCTTCGTCAGGATTATTTGCGCAAAATTAAAAATTTTCGTGATAGTAATCGATATATCGTATACCTGGATGAAACGTGGTTTGATAGTCATGATGTCGTTAATTATGGATGGTTTGATGACTCCAAAAATTGTTGTTTGCAAACGCCTTCCTCTAGAGGAAAAAGAATAGTTATTATGCACGCAGGAAGTATAAATAGTTTTGTCCCTAATGCTTTGTTATTATCAGCTAAACAAATTAAAAAGTACTATGCTGATTATCATAAGGATATGACGGCGTAATTATTTAAAAAATGGTTTAAAGAACAGCTATTACCTAATATTCCTAAGGAAACCGTTATCGTCATGGACAATGCCTCTTATCATTCGCGTCAAACTAGAACAATTCCTAACCGAAGAACTAAAAAAAGTAATATTTTGGAATTTATAAAAGAGAAAAACTTAGCCGTTCCTCAAAAAAATCCGACAATCAAAGTTTTACTAGAGATTATAGAAAAACAGAATTTTGAAAAGGAATATTATATAGATGAACTTTGTAAGACGCACGATCATACTCTGCTTCGCCTACCTCCCTATTATTGCATATTTAATCCGATAGAATTAATATGGGCATACATTAAAAGTAATTACGAAAGATAAATCAATCCCCGAATTTAAGCAAACAAGTTGTTCAACGTATATAGTTGGTTTTTAATGATGAACACAGTGATATTTGGAAAAACAGTATATCACATGTAGTTTCTAAAGAACAAGAATATGTTCTTCTGCCACCTGTAAAGCCAGTTATAATTGACCTCAATAGTTAGTCCGACGATGAATTCTCTGATGACGACTAGGGCTACATTTTTTGTAGCTTTATTTTTATTCATTTATTTTTGAAATTAGTTTGACTAGTTCCAGTTTCTGTTTATTTTTTTTTGTTTTTGGTGTGTAAATACCTATATTCCTTGTCATAAGTAGTTTTATTTATACTTGTCAATTTGCTGAATGAAATGTTATATGTCTAAATATTATTCAAATACAATAAATTTTTCTGGTTTAATCGGTGAATTTGTATAGAACTACCAATGTTTCGGTAAAATTCTGCTACAGTCACAATTATTTTTAAAAACATTGAGGGACAATCAGTTTTATATACGAACCATGGTGTAGGTGAATTGAAGTAACAATAATAATTTGTTTAACAAAATTAGTAGGTAGGCAAATAAAAAGAAGAGTTTTTGCAAAATTAAAAATTACCAGTGATGTTATAGTAAAAATTAAATTAGTTTTTAAAAATAACCATGAAGTAAATAAAAACTTTAATTGGCCGATTATATTAAAAGAAATTTTGTGTGATTTTAAAAAATTCTACTATGGTCAGAAAATTAGCCTCTTTATATACGACCTGGCAAGATTAAATCTACAGGTTTACTTCACCTGTAATGAACTAAATTAAACTTAGCGTTCTCACATGCTCCAAAAAAAGTGATATAAAACGATGTTATAAGCCAATGTGCGAAATGAGAATAACAGCGAGAAGATCAAGAAAATCAGTGAACGAAAGGATAATTTATAACGCAGTGTATAATAAGACGAATCAAGAACTGAGACGCGAAAATCAAACCTGTCTTCCGCACCCGTCTCTCCTAGAATACTCATCCTTTCTCTCTTTGTCCTCTACGAAACGACGCAAATCGATTCAATACTTCTATTTTAAAATCATTAAAACATTATTTTGCATACCTAATCTAAAAAATATTCCTACGCCTATGTTATGCGGCTAAATTGAAAGAATTTTTTTACCAGTTGTTTTTATACTGTTCCAACTGACTTTAGACAAACTTATACAACTCCTTACCCACTGTGCTATGTCAACAACTATTAAAGTTGTCTATTATTACAAATTCTGGTTGATGGTTGCATTATTAAATTTCGCTATTTTCATGTCTGAATATGTTATGTTTGTTCTTTATCTTCATTTATTTATAAAATATTCATTAATACTCCACTCTGTCGTGAAATGTATAAAGTTATTCCAAATATGTCACATGCGAAAGCTTTGGAATGACAGTAGCGGACAAGGGTAAATTGTTCATCAGTTTGACCGTATTCGTAGTATCGTGGATGGATCTGTATAAAAAAATCTATTATTATATTGTTATTTAGTGGTGTTTATATTTTTATTTTTGAACTTTGTTCTATTGATAAAAGTTTTTATAATATCGCTACTTTGATTTGTTGAAAGACGAGCTACGAAACAGCAAGGAAAAATCATGTAGTGATTATCATCAAATTTCAAATGAATTACTTTTTATTTAAATTATAAAGATAAATATTATTTTGTGAATTCAGGTCACACTTTGTTTATATCCCGAAATATTTTGAAATTTTGGCAAGCCTGGAGCGAGCTGTAGTGTTGCTGTTGGCAGTGTTGACAAACAATTTTTACCCCCAAAATCATTGGAAGAAATAAAGGAACTAAGCCAAAAATGAAATTAAAGGCCAATGGTAAGCTTTTAGAGTATTATATTCTGCAAATATCATTCACTATTATTAAATTAATTGCAGCTTGGTCCACATTTAAAAGCAGACGAGATGGTTTCTTACGAGCATTAAACACCATGAAGAGTAAGAAATGTTAAAGGGCTTTACTAAAAGGACCTACATTATTGAAAAAAGGATTTGTTACAAGAAGTTTTTAGTAAAAAGTAGTTACAAATAATTTTATATAAGAAAGCAAGGGCCTGTTGAACTTCAGAAGAAACATAGTTTATATTTATATCGAAAATAAAACATATTTTCTCAGAAAATAAGTAAAAATAAGTAAAAATAAGTAAAAATAAGTAAAAATAAGTAAAAATAAGTAAAAATAAGTAAAAATAAGTAAAAATAAGTAAAAATAAGTAAAAATAAGTAAAAATAAGTAAAAATAAGTAAAAATAAGTAAAAATAAGTAAAAATAAGTAAAAATAAGTAAAAATAAGTAAAAATAAGTAAAAATAAGTAAAAATAAGTAAAAATAAGTAAAAATAAGTAAAAATAAGTAAAAATAAGTAAAAAGAAGTAAAAATAAGTAAAAATAAGTAAAAATAAGTAAAAATAAGTAAAAATAAGTAAAAATAAGTAAAAATAAGTGAAAATAAGTAAAAATAAGTAAAAATAAGTAAAAATAAGTAAAAATAAGTAAAAATAAGTAAAAATAAGTAAAAATAAGTAAAAATAAGTAAAAATAAGTAAAAATAAGTAAAAATAAGTAAAAATAAGTAAAAATAAGTAAAAATAAGTAAAAATAAGTAAAAATAAGTAAAAATAAGTAAAAATAAGTAAAAATAAGTAAAAATAAGTAAAAATAAGTAAAAATAAGTAAAAATAAATAAAAATAAGTAAAAATAAGTAAAAATAAGTAAAAATAAGTAAAAATAAGTAAAAATAAATAAAAATAAGTAAAAATAAGTAAAAATAAGTAAAAATAAGTAAAAATAAGTAAAAATAAGTAAAAATAAGTAAAAATAAGTAAAAATAAGTAAAAATAAGTAAAAATAAGTAAAAATAAGTAAAAATAAGTAAAAATAAGTAAAAATAAGTAAAAATAAGTAAAAATAAGTAAAAATAAGTAAAAATAAGTAAAAATAAGTAAAAATAAGTAAAAATAAGTAAAAATAAGTAAAAATAAGTAAAAATAAGTAAAAATAAGTAAAAATAAGTAAAAATAAGTAAAAATAAGTAAAAATAAGTAAAAATAAGTAAAAATAAGTAAAAATAAGTAAAAAGCATCTCACTCCCTCGGGTTGACTCAGAAAAATGAGCAAGAGAGACGCGATTAGCCAGAACAAAATTATTAAAATTTAATTTCTATTTTTATGTTATTTATTTTAAAATAATTTGTTTTTATGATATGTAACTGAGTGTTGATTGCACAAATGAACCAATGGAGAAACCACCCCTGATAGCAACCCCCGTTAACCCCCATTTTTTATCACTTTTTTTTAATCAATAGGCTTCATCTCCTTATAGCGTTTGATTTTTACTAAAGATTTCAAGTTTATATCGCTTTTTTAATTTTAACTTCCCTTAAACCATCCATATTTAATCAGATTTTTATCAAAATCAAAGGACTTCTTTTCCTCATAGAGCTTGATTAGTAAAATAAATCAACATAAATCAACGTTGTCTATAAAATTGACAGCAAAGACTGTAATTGAATCGGTGAGTGAAAGAACAATACAAGTGCCAAAAACGGTAATTTTAACTGAGATAGGCAAATTGTTTAAAATTCATAGGCCTATCACATAGCGAAAGAATAATAGACCGACCATCATCATACGAGCGATGGGGGCTTGTTCAATTTTTGGCTGAGTGAAAAAACAGTACATGTACGGCGCATGTACTGTTTTTTCACTCAGTAGCCATGTCGTTTCGTAGACAAATTTGATACAGATTTCAAAAACTGGTGGTCGCAATTTCATAAAAACCTCTAAGACAGCTGATGGACAAAAAGCTAATTTTGTCATCCCGCAGTACAGCCAATTTACATACACTGGTAAAACTCCTGGATATGTTACTACAACTGGCTTCATAGGCGGTTTTCTCTCGCACACTTTTATGTTTGGGGCGCATTAGACTCATCAAACCTAATGCCAATCTGTAGTTACCCTTATGGCGGGTATACACGCTACGGTCTGTCTATGCAGGTGTGCCTGCACTGGTAAACGTACACGCTACGACATGAAGACGACCTGCGCAGGCACACCTGCACAGGTAGACCTCTCCGGTAGCCTGTTGCGTGTATGACCACCATTAGAAAAGGCATACTCAGAAGTTGTCCCTATTAACGTAAAGAAGATAGCCAATATAAAGATTCTTTTATCCTACTTTAGTGATTGTATCCTAGAGTTTTACTACCATATATTATTTCTTGAAAAGTCAAAAATGAAGATTCTGATTGAAAAATTACAAATAAGTTTGTTAAATAATAATCAATAAAGCTACAAAACAAATTTTAAGCATTTTTTTAATTTGAGTGAAAGAACAGTATAACTGCAAGTCATTTTTTTCAAATATCATTTTTTGCGTAATTTTCTTTTTAAATTTATGTACGTATTATTATCGGTTAACAAAAATTCTATAACTTCACAATACATAATTAGGCCGAATAACCTATAGTTCTCCTTTAAAACAGTTTTTTTTTGTTTTTCTCAAAATGGTCATTTTGGATATGTATTGTTCTTTCACTCACCGATTCAATTCCACTTACATTTGACAAACAAAACAATATCTACATAAAAGAATAAAAAACCATAAAAATAATATCGCAACTAATAATGAAAATTCCACTGCCCTAACTAAACATGCGTTAGAAAATTTGCACTCTTTCGATTTTGAAAATGTAAGAATTCTCGAAAATGAACCTAATCTCAACAAAAGAACAATGCTTGAGATGATAAATATTAACAAAAATAACAACTGTGTAAATAATAAAACGGACATAAAAGATTTGTCAAACGTTTATTTTAATATTATTAAATAATTGTAAGCTTTCTAATCCTTATCTGTAACGCCACTGGTAATTTTTAACTTTGTAAAAACTCACCATTTTGTTTCCGTACTTTATCGTGTTAAACGAAATTATTATTTCGAATACACCTTCACACGATGTGAAATAGAAAGATGACGTTCTATTATTTTAAAATGTTTTAAACTGTTTGTATTCGTCCCCATACTTTTTATAAATTGACTGCACCAGAAGATGAAAAAATTGTATTTTCCGAAACATATGCAGTGCTGTCCTAAACAATAGAAAATAAAAACATGACCGAATAAACCAAGGAAATTTTTATTTATATAAAATTCTGCTACGGTCAGGAAATTATCCTTTTTCCTTTCGTAAGGTATTTTGCTCAAAACTATTTTCGCTTGCTAGGTAAACATTTAAGGCAGGTACAGATCTGAACACGTACGCATATTAAGGCGGGTACAGATCTTAGCACGTACGCGAATTAAGTGTAAGCACTTCGAAAAAGACTTTTTAAAAAACAAAAATTTAAATGAAACCTTTATTAACAGAAAGCTAACAATGATCTGATCTTTTTTTATTCTGACTTATATTTATAATTTTAGTCCAGAGTGCAACGTAAGCACTATTCTTGTATTAAGTCGGCGGGATTGTTTCCATAACTCCTCCGGGGCTAGATGAGAACTATGGGGTTGAACCAGAGTTCGAAATGAGCGGAAAATTCTTGAGGTCTATATCTTGAGGATTTTCTTTCTTCTTTTTCTCGGTCAACTTCTTTGTAATGTAAAATTTAAAAGCTGCATAAATGATTGCTGAAATAATTATAATATATAATACAATTGTATAAAAACTTATTTTTTGAAAATGCACAGGGGATGTGTCGATGTCTTCTAATTTCAATTTATCTTCCTGGAGTGCACTATGAATATTGTTAAGTTCATCGAGCTTTATTGAGTTTATTTGCACTGGTTTTAAGTTTATTGTTGAGGTTTTAAAATTGTTTTTGAAAATTTTTAAACTTGGCAGTTCAATATTTCTAAAATTCGGATTTTTGGTTTCAAATGTTTTTAGAGAAAAACTGTCTATATTCACTTCACACAAATTATTAAGTTCTATTAAATAACTACCATTTATAAGGACATTGTCTAAATTTTTACCACATTTTTGTTTTGTAACCACACTGTGGGGTGTGATAACAATCCATTGGTTCTTTTCTAACTTCTGGATTTTTATTTCGCTGACATCTACTGGAATTTGTCGACATTTGTTGATAAATTTAGAATACTTCAACAGCTGTACTTCACAAGGGGAATTCGGAGATATTCTTAAGGTCTGGACATCTTGGCAGAGAAATCCATCTTGAGTAACTTCTTTGCACCCCAAGTTTAAAAGTGCATATTGCTGCTCATTTGAGAGAAGAAATTTGGATTGAGGAATAATGGTTTTAAAGGATTCTATGGAACGTATAGGTAGAGAGTACAGGTGATAGTAGTTATAATTATTGGATTCTACTATGGGTATTTCAAGTAGAAATACAATTTTATTATTTTTACTATAGCTTTTGATTTCGATTATTTTTTCAAAATTTAAAATATTATTTAAGGAGAGTTCAAATGGAAATTTTTCATTATTGTTAAGATTTTTACTAATTAGTGATATTTCAGAAAATAGTTCTGTAGGATCTGCAATAGCATTATGAAATGTATTAAGTTTTGAAAAGCTAATGGCTATCTCTATTTTTTCCAGTATGTCATATATAATTTGAAAACTAATAGAAAATTGTGAGACAATTCTTTCCAGTGCAAAGTAATGAAATGTTTCCGTTTTTTCTATATTTAAATTTTTAATTAATTTTTGTATTTCATTAATACGAGAGCTCAATATTAATTGATTATGAGCTAATAATTTAGAATTGTTTTTAAAGTTTTGAATTGAATTTTGTAAAATAGTAACTTGATGCTCGATTAAAGTTTTAATTTTATTTTGATTGATAGACAAAGATGTTATGGCTTCGTCATATCGTTTTGCATCGTTTTGGTCTAAATTACCTGTTAAAAACTTTATTGCTGAACCGAGTCCATCGAAAAGGGATCTCTTTGATCTAGACTTCCAAAAAGGATTTAACTGATTTAATTGAATGGTTATTTTATTTTCGATAATTTGAATCATGTGATATGAGTTTTGAAATTCTTCTTTGAAACTAAAACTTTCGGGAGTTGTAGAGAGAGAGAGATGTTTAATTTATTATAT